CCACCGAGAACCGGCCGCCAGTCAGGGGCCTCGGGATGCGGCTTGTTATACATGTGCTTAAGGCCGACACTGGTCGGCTGATGAGCTTGGTTTGCTAGTTACCGTGACAAGCAGTCGGTGGGCTGGACTCTGTATCTAGAACACCTGGTAGTCGCTAGCACGTCTGATGCCCCTAGGGAGGCCAGAGTGAGGCAGCACTCGCTACAGACGTTAAATATACCTACCTACCTACCTACCTAAAGCGTTTAAACGGGTTGAATGTCGAAGCCCAACTGCCAAACCCAGTACGAGAAATCTAAAGGTAGAAAATAGTAGATTTTACTAGCTAGCGCCAATCTCGGAAGTTTGTGCTTTGAACGTCAGGTTTGATTACCATCTGGGGTAGTAACGCAAACCTTGCAGTCGGGTCAGGTTTTCTTTTAGTGGCACCACTAAGGGGAAGTGTCATGGCTCTGGCAACATCTAGCTAAGCCCAATCCAACTAGGCCAAAAGGACGAGAAAGTACAAGTCGTCCAACTTGTACCCCACGTTGGGCTTAGTACCTTGGTGCAAACGAGACATGGCTGCGTCTGCCCAACAAGGCACGCCGCGCCATCACAGGAATCTATAGAAAATAAAGCTTCCAAATCTCTTTTAATTGTCAACTTTGCATACACCAATTGTCACAAACGGAGGCGCCCTCTAGGGGGCAGCCCGATGCTCGGCACGGACGGGGGCCACCGGGCGGGTGCGCTCCACCCGTACCAAACACCGGAGGCACGACAGTGGAGGCTCAGGATCCGATATCAAGCACGGGGGACAGGGGCCAAAGGTGTATATAAGGGCAGGGAGCCTCCGGCTCCCTGTGCCAGATTCCTTTCCTCAGAGACAGATTCAGCCTTCAATAGAAGCCTATTGTGCCACCCCTTCCCCTTTGCCACACCCATTCCCCACCCGGGCGCAAAAAATTGTTACTAGCCCCACCCGAACAAAATGAGGTTATACCCAATAATGAAATATCTCAACCCTAACACTCCGCAGTGATAACATGATAGCTACCACCAACTATATCGTCTTCCATAACCTCCGCCGTATCCTCTATCATATCCATCACGTCCACGCGCTCTACCACTTCGCCCTCCCCTTCTTGCCATAAATTCATCATTTCTGTTTTGGTGATAAAGCTCTCTTATCCGCCCCTCTGGCCATCGAAGCGAAAAACCAGAGCCTCGATCCCGTATATCGGCAAATCGTAATTCCACGGCTGAAAAGGGCTTGGCGGGAATAAATTCGAGTGGCTCGAGGTGAGATGGATCTACCGTTTGGGCAGATAGCAGCTGAAATGCCTCAAGAGCATATTGGGGAGAATCGAAAGTAAGTATAACTGAATTACTGTTCCGCCGTTGAATTCCAAAGTTAATTCTGAATGCTAGTTGATCGAAATAGCTTATAATTTGGTGTATATTTAGCCCACGCAATACGGTTCGATTCGAAACTGCCTCGACCGGCGCTTCCTTTCGTTCTTCTACTATTTGATCCTATGCGTTTTGTTAACATTTAATTCCTTTTATTTTTTTTAACCCGGAAAGACCTTTTTCTAACCTGAGTCTGAATCTCATCATCGTTGACAGCAGAATCCCAATCCATAATGGGCAAAAGGCTATCATTTAAGGCGTGGGCTAAGTTGGCGCTGCGTTGCGCGGTGTAAAATATTTTGTTTCTGTACCGTTTAAAAGAGATGAGTTGATATTAAGATTGTTAGATGCTCCTTGTTATACAATACCCGAATGCTCACTCTTATTCCGCAACACCCTGGTTCCAGCTTTTTCAGCCAATACTAAATTACCACAAAGCACAATTCGGCTTGTCACCTCGGTCATCTGGGGTCTCAAAGGAAATGCGTCGATATCGTCGCAATGGGCATAGATCCGGTTCCACGAGCTTGTCAGCGAACTCAAGCAAAAACGTGGGGGTGCGCATACAATGGTGCCCTGGACACCAAGACATTGAAGGGAACGAGCGGGCGGACCGCCTGGCAGACCAGGGAGCCAAAGGGCCGGTGGGCGCTGATCCCTAGGCCCAGAGAACGACCGTAAGCGGCCTCCGGTCCTTATTCCGCAAAGCTTCAAAGCAAGAAAGCACACAATGGTGGCACGCGCAGCGAAAATCCCCCACCTACGCCCTCTGGGAACTAGAGTATGCACCCACCAAGGAGCTGGAAGAGCTGAAACTCCCACGCCGGCTCCTGGGACACTATCTAGCCATGCGGACAGGACACGGAGACTTCCAGGAGTACCATGCCCGCTTCAACCACCAGGACGCACACACGCGCTGCCCGTGGTGCAGCTACCACACGTCGCCGTGACATCTGGTCCACTGCCCAAACAGCATCAAGCAGTGGCGAGACTGGCCTTGCAGGCCAGCCCTCCGCCCAGACATGCAAGCTCGGCGCAAGTACCTGTACAAAACACTGGCAAAGCCCAAATGTTTTGAGAAGTTCGCGGCCATTACCAGCCACTTCACCGTCTCCCCGCGTGACTAACGCATCGTACCCGCCCTAGTGGACACCCCCCGCGTGCAAAAGCATGCAAATAAAGACGGCGGACACCGCCGCAAGCTAGTCACACCTCCGCAAAATTAGTTGCAGGGCCGCAGCAGGCACAAACATGGAGGTTTTTCCTATTTGGTTAGGTTTTCCTCCAAAGATCCGGCGACTGCAGTTTGGAAAAATACAGGTAACATCGGGCCTGTAGGACGACTCCTTCTTCAGGAACTACCTGGAGGTACTGGGAACACAATACTGTTGAGATGACAAATGTCACATGCCTCTGGCTAGTGACTAGGAGCACGAGCCACACCAGGTTGCCCACTATGTATATAAGGCCATGACCTTTCCCACCTCTCACAGAAGCACTCTGCTACACAAGCAAGCAACGCAAGGAATCTTAAACCATGCCCAGCATATTTCAACAGATGGTACCGTGGATAGGATCTAGAAGATTCTAGATGGACACGAGTACGGGCGGAGCCCGTGCACAGACCATATGCTCTGTGTATATCTACAAGAACCGTGATCCCCTTCGAAAGAAGGAGAAATAGAACAAGCGCATTCTTCACACAGATGGATGACTAGAGACAGTGTTTTCTGACAGAAGGAAAAGAAGGGATTCCCGTTGTTTAGGCCCTTGCAGACAGATTAGATAGGCAGACCCGCTGTTTTCATGGCCCGTGCGTGGGGCCTGGAGGCCACGCCCGATAAGGGCGATAAGTGGCCGTGCACGCACAGGGTATCTTGAGCGCGCACCGCCTTCCCTGCGGGCCTGGATTGCTTCCGGCAACCTACTTGAAGCTATTACCTGTCACCATACCTTTTGCCTTCCCTATCTACTGTGACACACGCGTTCGGCGCGCGTTCAGCGCGGCTTGACGATGGCCCACCGTGTGGGTCCTTGTCTGTGGGCCTTGACCCAGATCGTCACAGGCGTTTCGGTAAAACCTCGCTCACGCCGCCCACCATCTTGCGCACCCACAATTGCATCGTGAGGCATTTTGCGCTTATGCTTTGGGCGACGACCCGCACTAAAATCATACTGCGGTCCACTGTGGATTGAATGGTTACCACCCATGTACCACTCACCCCGCCCACAAAAAGGATGGCCTTTTTGTTGTTTAGGTGGGACCGCCATCTTTTTTGTGGTTGGGGTGCCACCTTACCTGGAACCAACACCTGGTTGCTGTGCTGCGCACTCCACACAAGCCCCACTGCCATAGTCACGCTAACATGCCGCCACCTGGCACCCCGCAGAGCCGCCCACGCCGACCACAAAAAAATAGCAGTCTCGGCCTTTTTACTAATTAGGTGGACTGCCATTCGTTATGGTTCGGGGTGCCTGGTCGCCTGCATGGTCCTTCGCTCACCCCTGCTAAACTGGGCCCCCTCACCAACAGTAGCTGCAAGGTACAAAAATCACTCCACAAACCCACAGCCAATCCAACCGCACCAACGACGCCTCTTGCTGCTGCCCCTTGCAGCGAAGAAACACAAACCGTTACTAGAAGCCTGCTCTTAATGGTGTACGGAAATTGCGGCTTTCGTTATCGAACCACAGTGTTGGAGCTAAAGCTCGAGCTGCTATTCTCCGGTAGTCGTTGGGCGTGGGCGTAAAATCACATCCCCAAGGCTGGGTGGTGTAAATGGTTTGATTGGGGTGGTGGATACCAATGTGGGGCAGCAACGACTATTCAATCCAGCACCAGGCGGAGCAGGAAACAAAATAGGGATAATCTGCGACACGCCCCAACAGCAGGCATCATGGGTTCAGTGATTCTTGATGTACCATCCAGCACAGGCCGCCAACAAGCTCCTGTTGGTGCAGCTTAAAGGCAGCACGCCGCCAAACATCCCCACTGGGACGATTTCCACCCGGGTCCCCGCACGTTCAAGCCTCGGCTCTGTTTCCCCCCGCGACCTGATAAGATATGGTACTGTCAACCATGTAGGCACCGGCTCCCTTCCAGAATGTGGGTGCCGGCTCCCTCTTCATTTTCTGTTGCATTGTTTTGTGGCCGTCTGGCACGCCGGGGGAACACCCGACAACCTTCTCATTTCCACGCCGCGGCCGACAATTGCGTGGCCATTCACTTCGGGCACAACCGCGCAACTGACCAAGCGCGACCTTGCGGCAAGTTAAGCCTGCAAACATCGACTACGCATTCAAGTGCGTTAGAATCCCCATCGAGCGACTTTCGCGGAATGCTGCGTTCGAGATACTAACTTGCCAGACAACCTTGGGTGGACCTCAACCGCCGGTAGCCGGCGGCCCCGACTCATTGAGGCTTTCGGCGGTGCTTTCGAGAAACCGTTTCCACCGGCCGATGCAGAAATTTACGGCGCCTATCCGAGCGCGACTTTGGCCGATTTCCACCCTGGCGACTACGATCGATCAACGTCACGTCACCGGCACTGTGGTCGAAGGCAAAACATACAAGGCGCGCAGCAACGGGGGCAAACCATTTGGGGAAAGACGCAAGAGCGACCTTGCGTGAATCCCAAGTACGAGGTGGAACTTCGCGCGTACCCCAATGTCACCAGCGCAACACCCAACCCTACACGACAATGTCCGACGTCACCATACATGAGGCTCGCGAACTTTTCCGTTTGAAAGCTTCCTATGGAGCGCAAGATGTCCAAAAGGCATATTATGCGGCAGCACGAAAACACCACCCGGACGCAAACGGCGGCGTAACGGGAAACCTTGGCAAATTGGCAGAAGCAAGACGGGTCCTTTTGGGAGCGCTGCAAAATCCAGCAACGGATGATGTCGCGCTGCGCAATCCAGCAACGGATGATGTTGTCGCGCCTGCTAGTCAGTGTCCGGTGGAGAAGTGCAACTACAAATCCCACGACATGCAAGACCATCTTAGCGAGTTCCACCTCTTCGAGTTGTGCACCGGCGCCTGCGCTTTAGACTTCGACAGCCTCATCAAGCAGTGTGAGCATATGAATGAGTTCCATCCGCTGGGGGAATGCCGTTTATGCAACCGGTCGATTTGCATCGAGTTCATGCAATGGCACCTACGAGAGGATCACAAGTGCGGGTACGACTTGCAAGAGGGGGCATATGACAACGCTGTCGGGCAGGACATCAACGTCATCAACGCTTTTTGGGAAAGCAGAAAGGAAGAGGATGAGGCCACCGGGATTGTGACCTGCATCGTCACCAAATGCAAGGACCAAATCGGAATGGAAAGCCTCCACAATCATCTTTTCACGAAACACGGCTGGCAAAAATGCAAGGTATGCCGTGATGTTTTGGGTCCGCCGGACGATAAAGAGCTCAAGTCGCACATGAAGAAACACCCCATTTGCGGTGAGTGTCACACACTGTTTAAGGACCGGGATGCGCTCAACACACACTTGGTGGACGAACACAGGTACAAGGAGTGCACACATCAATATTGCATTTCCTACTTCCCCCCAGACGAGCTGGACCGCCATATTAACTCGGAGCACCCCAGGTGCTCCGTGTGCGGGGTTCGTATGGATTTCCGTGAATTGCCATCACACCTTCGGAGGAAGCACGGCTGGGAAACGTGCATAGTTTGCCACGAGCCGTACGACCCTTCGGTGGATCACTACAAGCTGCACCCTGGGCATCAGCCTCCCCCGCAGCAAGCCCCGCCACAGCAGCCTTCACAGCAGCCTTCACAGCAGCCGCCACAGCAGCAAGGCCCGCCACAGCAGCAAAGCCGGCCACGGCAGCGAGGCCGGCCACAGCAGCAAGGCCCACCTCCACAGCCGCCTCTCTCGCAGCAGGATCGTGTCGCAGAACCCCCCAAGCGCGGTGACAGCAATGGTGGGCGTGCAGGGACGCGGGCAAGCAAACGGCGTAAGGTTTCGCCGCAGCCAAGAAATAACCCACAGCAGGAGGCCGACAATGGTGGGTGTGCAGGTAGGGCGCGAAGCCAATTTCCCCAAATCCGATTTGTTCCTGTCTCTCTTTTCCGTACTAACAACGGTTTGTACCCCAACCAAAGAAGGTGTCGGCATACCACCAAAGAAAAGCCCCATCACCACCATTCTCCGCCATCAACCGGACAAGCAAAGGAAATACTCTTTCAGACTTCGCGTCCGGCGGAAGGATAATAAGGAGGTTTGGGAACAGGAAAGGTTTATACAGCAGCAATATCCGGACCTCCTGTACAACTACTGGAAGCAAAAGGGAGGACGACCACACGTGGCTCGCTACCGCGTTTTCAAGGTATTGAGGTGTTTGGAAAATGGGGAATATCTTGTGCAGTGGGAGGGGTACTCCGACGCTGATAAAGAGACCACAGAGAAGACACTGGTCGAGTTGAAGGATATCGCGAAGGAGGAGCTGCGGAAGTTTGAGGAAGGCCGAAAAGCGGAAAGCCCCATTGTGTTGGATTGAAACTCCCGGGCGAGGGGTAGAAGGGGAAACTCGGGTAGAAGTAGTGGGTGCGCATAAGGTGGTTAGGGTGTTGTGATTGCGTTAGAAGAGGACGATTTCCCAGCCATGCTTCCAGCTCCTCGCTGTGTTTGCTACAAACGGACTTTTGCTCCTAGGGTAGGCACTGAACGGTCCGCCCGGAGGAACTGGGAAACTTGGACTGCAGTTAGGCCCCCAGCTGGAGTAGCCAGCTGCTTCCTATCTTATCTGCACGTGGCCTTTTGGCAGCGCGGGATAAGGTGGCCGTCACGGCCCTTTTCCGGACGAGAACGTTTCCTCGACCCACCACCTCCGATAACGATAACGGCGCAACCCAGTATCTCCGCTTCTCTTAGAATGAAACACCAGCCCCGGCTACTGGCCCTGGCTGGTTCCTCCCTTGGGAGGATAAAACAAATGGTAGCGGCGCGGATAAAACGCCGTTACGTTAAAAATCACGGCTTGTCGTTTGGCAAGGAGAAAACCCGGAGGATAACCAGTCGGAGCTGGAGGCAATGCCATTAGGCCGGCTGAAGTAAGGAAGAGGGACGCAAGGGCCCTAGAAAGAAAGAAACGGTATCTGGGGGTAGGTTTTACAGTTGCCCCGTGGTTATAACTTTCCTGTACCTAGATATCCGTAGAGCCATGAGGATGGCCACATAAAACTGCCCAGCCACCGTCGCGGGCACGTCAGAGATCCGCGATGGCGGATGCTCGCCGGGGCCGGCACGTGCTAACGCACGGGCCAGTACCCGAGGCACTGACGTTAATGATACTCTACTCTACTCTACTCTTCTCTTAGAATGGCCGGGGTTGACGATAACGATGGGGCGGACGAAATTGACGATAACGAAAACCCAAGCATAAATTGTGGGTTAAATACCCCAAGGACCGCGACATCCCTGAGCTGATCGAATCTACCGCGGGCCATTCTCCCTGCTCTGTTAGAAACGGGTGCTGCCCGCGCGAAGGAATCGCGTATCCGAGCGCTGGCTGGCAGGTTTGGCGCGGCCCGTGCTAGCTGCGGCCTGGTGTTTTCGTCCGCCGATTCAGGATGTCCCCTGGAAGAGCTGCGACAAGGCGTGATATCCGGGCAGCGGCGGTGCACTAACCCCATCGTGGCACAGCGAGGCTGCTTGGCCACCGGTTAACTTTTTGACAGCGTGCTTGCTTATTGGTCCCAAGAAATCCACAGGCATCCAACTTGAGTCGCCAACTTCTTTTGGTTCCGAAAATGGCGTTGGCGGGAGGCTGGTCGGCGGAGGCTGGGCTTGCGACAGGGACAGGTCTTTGCACGCCTGGGCCTTAGGGTTTCTGTCGGAAAACACTGTCTCTAGCCATCCATGAAAAATGGGGAAAATGCCTTGTTTTTTTTCTCCTGTCCTCTGTCCTTCGAAGAGGATGATCGTTCTTGTTGATATACACAGAGTATGTGGTCAGTGCACCGGGGTGCCCATGTTCATGCTCCACCTGGAATCTTCCAGAACCTTCTACACAGTACCATCGAGTACTCTCGTATCTGACAGTTTCACCTGACCACGCCAGCAGCAGCAACAACGTCAGCACCAACAGTCAGCAAACCCAAACGCACAACATTCCCCACCGCAAGCGCTACGGCAGACTGGCACGCCCACCACAACAAAAACGGCAGTTCCACCCCTTTTTGTAGTGGGCGTGGCTGGTATTGGCAGGATATGCAAGTGGTTGCATAATTTTGCAGGCCGTGCCGATCCCTTCGGTTTCGGGCTGTAATGCTGAAGGCGGCTGCCATGATCGCTGTAAGGGGCTGGCGAAAGGGCTGCCATTTATTTACAGTGCCCGAACTGTACTCAATGCGCTGGGCTCTAAATCCCTTCCTAGGAAGCGTGGCAGCAAGCATGTTCTTCACGGGAAACCTGCAGTTGCTTTCGTGGCCAGGGAGCACGCACTTTGTTTACCGAACCCTTGCTGGTAGGTTTTATCGGTGCGTGCATGCGGGGCGCTACGGAACAATTCATTTAACGTGTAAGGAAAAGCTCCGGCGTGTTGGGATGTGGCTTGTAGGTGGCGGACTCACGGTTGCTTTTCTCCTCAGGTGTGGAGTGCTTGGGGTTCAGCGGCCAAGCTGTCCCACAGTGGGTAAGAAGCGCACCCCACCGATGGCCTGCCACAACCTCGGCAGTCAACCCAACGACAAAGTATTTCAACGCGGTGACCACGCCTCACCTGCTTCAAAGCCGCATATTTTGACAACCACGCATTCTGCGGTTGATTTTTTAACGCCTTTTAAATGCTCATTCTCAGCGCTACTAAACGAGCCGACAAATTCCAAATCTGACCGGTGCCCTAAGTGTGGCGGGCTAAACGGCTCCGTACCTGGGTACGCCCGGGTACGTTCCATTTGGCTGATATCTCGGCGGCCTCACCCGCTTCAAAGCCGCATATTTCAACAACCACGCATTCTGCGGTTGATTTTTCAACGTCTTTTAAATGCCCATTCTCGTCGCTATTAAATACGCCAACAAACACCAAATTTAACCTATGTCCTAAATGTGGCGGGCTAAACGGCTCCGTACTCAAGTGCGCTACCGGTACGTTCCATTTGGCTGATTTTTCGGCAGCCCCGTCCCGACCGACCGAGTTTTCTCACAGGGTCCAAAGTGCACCCACCTGGCGTCCGCCACACATTTTAAGCTGCAAGCATACCAGCTTTACCACAGCATATTCCGACAACCACGCATTCTGCGGTTAATTTTTCAACGTCTCCTAAATGCCCGCTTTCGGCGCTACTAAACGAGCCGACTAATTCCAAATTCGACCGGTGCCCTTCGACATAATGACAATAAAAACCCGCACTACCGCGGATTCTCGTCCGACGGCCAGAGGCTCGCGTCGGCCTCCAACGACAAGACCGTCAAGCCCTAGGGCGCGGCGACAAACGCGTGCCTGCCAACGCTCGAGGGGCACAGCGGCTTCATCAAGTCCGTCGCCTCCCAAAGGGAAAGCAACAGGCTCCGCAGATGCCGCAGGCTTTGCAGAGCCTATACCAAGCGACCCTTGCATCACCGCGGGAGACCTTAGTACTTACCTTAAAACGTACCGATGGAAAAAAGAGGTTACAGTATACCCAAACCCAGTTTCTTTCCCTAGCGCGAAGGACAAGGCCAACTGGCAAGGAGCCCTGCCCGACATTGGGGAACGCCACACATTCCAACAATGGTGGGCCGCGCGAAGAAAGGGAGAGGGCGAACCCCTCTTGGCCCTGTTCAGCGTATATCCAAAGTCGTGGGTAGGCGACCCGGAATGGGACAAAAATCCTTGGCATTGCTATTGTGTTTGCCTTATTAGGCGGCGCCTTACAAAGTCCAAAATGACGTACATGGTTATTATTTGGGACTGCGATCCAAGGTTGTACTGGGACCCTAAGACCGGGGCTCAACGACAACTTCAAAACGGAGACAGATGTTCGTACATTCTTCAACGCAATCTTTACAGCATCGTCCGCGGATTTGCGAAGACGGCGGAGTTATTTTACAGCGTCGACACATCTCGAAGTGGTCAAGACCGATGCCTCTTTTATGCTCTGAAGCGGCTCGACGAGTGGTACCAGTTGAAAAATCAGGAGTTCCAGGGAGAGAGCGACCCCAGGTTAGAAAATTGCGTTTTCCTTAAACCGTAGCGGGCTGCAAAAACACCAGGGTCTTCGTTGTTCTTTTGTGCGAGCTGCTGTAGGTCACTGGTGGCTCGGAAAAAGGAGTCTCCTCGGAGTGTGGTGCTACGAAGCCATCTCATGAACTTGTGCCAGTGTCGTGCCAACATGGGGTGGGCCTTGCGCGATCCATTGTAGGCAGAGTTGAGGTCGCTGTTGAAGGTTCCAACGGTTGCGGTTATGCGCGATCTGGCCGTCGTGAAAGCGTTGAGGTTGGCTTCAAACGAGGCCGAGCTTGCTTTCCCAATTGTCAAACTCCTGTATTGAGGAAGGGAGCTTGAGCTCTGGCATCTTCCACATAAGCTTGTTGATGCCTCGCCCCTGTTCGTAGGGTGGGAAGACTCTTGACGGTCATAGGAACTAAGTCAAAGCACCCCCTGTTGGCCCACCCCCACAGTTGGACCACCCTTTTACATACAAACTGCTCTATTTCGCACCCAGGTCACAACGCCCACATAGGGTAATAAAAATAAAGTAAAAATATCTTGTAAAAGCTTAAAGGCCAAACCTTTTAAGAAAAATATGTAGGAAATTCTGCAACAATTTTAGCGGTTAAAAATATTAAGGCAAACATAAATGTGTAAAATCCCATACAAATTATATGAGAGGGTTTATTTTAAATAACGTAGTCCATCAGTGAGTGGGCCACATCAGCGAGTGGGCCACGACAAAGTTACGTGTTAAACGCGATTTTCGATACCCTTACTAACTCGGCCAATTTAAACCCAATTGTAACCAAATTTTAACAGGTTATATTTAACTATGTAGTAACTTTAATTTAATTTTCGTGGATTTTTATAAAATTTTATTACTACCTTTTTAGGGTAATTTGCATACTTTACACAGTATATTGTACAGTGTTTCGAACTAACCTTAAGGGGGTAATAATGAAAATCCAAAAAATCAAATTAAAGTTACTACGTAGTCAAATATAATCTGTTAAAATTTGGTTAAAATTAGGCTTAAATTGGCCGAGTTAGCAAGGGTATTAAAAATCGCGTTTAATATGAGATTTTGTTGTGGCCCACTCGCTAATATGGCCCACTCGGTGATGGACTACGTTAACTTTTTAAAAAATGCATTAATTTAAACCGGATTAATTTTATTTTATATCTTTTTTTATCGCATAACGTAGTTCATCACCGAGTGGAACACATCACCGAATGGAACACTTCAGAATCCCATACTAAACGCGGTTTTCAACACCCATGCTAACTCGATCAATTTCAGCCTAAATTTAACCAAATTTTAACAGGTTATATTTAACTGCATAGTATATTTAATTTAATTTTCTTAAACTTTTATTAGTACCCTTTTAAGGTTAGTTTTAAACACTGTATAATATAATGTATAAAATTTGCATATTACCTTAAAAGGTAATAATAAAATCTCGTAAAAATGTAAAAGAAATGAAGTTACATTTATTAAATTGCTAAATATACCCTATTAGAATTTGGTTAAATTTATGCTTAAATTGGTCGAGTTAGCATAAGTGTCGAAAACCGCGTCCAGTATGGGATTCTAAAGTGTTCTACTCGGTGATATGTTCCACTCGGTGATGAACTACGTTATAAGTTAATTCAAACCAATATGTACCTTTATATGTTCCTAGCTATTTATACCAGGTTTTAGCTTTTCCTTATATAAATTTATAAGCAAAAAATAACAAAGCAATATAAACGGGTAAATAAAATATATACAAACAAAAGTTTATTAAGATAATAAAGAGCTTTATATTAAATGTAAAATAAATTAGACCCGGTTTAAATTAACGCATTTTTTAAAAAATTATTTAAGATAAACCCTCTCATATAATTTGTATGGGATTTTACACATTTATGTTTGCCTTAAATTTTTAACCGCTAAAATTGTTGCAGAATTTCCTACATATTTTTCTTAAAAGGTTTGGCCTTTAAGCTTTTACAAGATATTTTTACTTTATTTTTATTACCCTATGTGGGCGTTGTGACCTGGGTGCGAAATAGAGCAGTTTGTATGTAAAAGGGTGGTCCAACTGTGGGGGTGGGCCAACAGGGGGTGCTTTGACTTAACGCTGGGGAGAAAGCCGCAACTGCACGAGGAGTATCACGGCGTGGAGAGCTATACTAGGTTAAGTACAACCTGTCTGTCAGGCCTTAATCTCTCCACGTAGTATTGTGTCTTCAGTACCTCCAGGTAGTTCTTGAAGGAGGAGGAGTCCTACAAACCCGATGTTGCTTATATTTTTCCAAACTACAGTAGCCAGATCTTTGGAGGAAAACCTAACCAAATAGGAAAAGCCTCTGTGTTCGTACCTGCTGCGGCCCTGGAACTAATTTTGCGGAGGTGTGACCAGCTTGCGGCGGTGTCCGCCGTCTTTGTTTGCGTGCTTTTGCACGCGGGGGGTATCCACTAGGGCGGTGCGATGCGTTAGTCACGCGGGGAGATGGTGAAGTGGCCGGTAGCGGCCGCGAACTTCTTAAAGTGGTTGAAGCGGGCATGGTACTCCTGGAAGTCTCCGTTTCCTGTCCGCATGGCAAGATAATGCCCTAGAAGCCGGCGTGGGAGTTTCAGCTCTTTCGGTTCCTTGGTGGGTGCGTACTCCAGTTCCCAGAAGGCGTAGGTAGGCGCTGTTACGCGTGATGTGGATGATCTCTGTCTTTTCTGGCGTAAAGGTGATTTTGCGCTCGGACCCGTGCCGAAGCATTTCCCCATGTTTGGGAGCAAACTAGCAGGGCGGTCCAATTATTATTGGACGTTTTGTGAGTATACGGTACGCGATTGTGGAAAAAAGGTACTGAGTGAAAGCTTGGTGTATCAAAAGCAACATTTGGCATATTGGCTGGTTATCCAACCTATTGACTAAAATTAAAAAAAACGGTTGGGCGAAGGGTGGCTGATAATTGGTTGGATACATTTGCTAGCTTAAAGCTTTTACAGCGCTGCCAAATCACCCTTAAATAGCCGTCAAATCCCTTGCCTGCATCGCCTTCCGCTTTGGGTAAACCCGAATCTAATTACTAATCAAGCTGGTTGATTTCTTTTTTTGTTGTAAATTTTGGAAATAATTGTTGGTAAAGTTGTTTAGTGTCGAGTGGATAATGAATCTTGTTAGTAGCTGAAAGTTGCTATTATGCGGAATATATATTTAAAGGACGTCTTTCCTCATTTTTAGGTGATTCCCATTCATTCACTCCTATATAAATAATATCATTTCGAACTACTAAATATGACTGGATTTCCATTTAAAGTAGAAAAGCTTAGTCGAAAGGTAATGAAGCGTAATGACAACTATAAAGCGATAGAAAATAACGACGAATTTTCAAGTAGGTTGTTTGTTCAAAATTGTTGATAACGGATAGCTAATGAAACGCATAGGCGAGTATTTCAATATATTGGAAAGTACCAAAAGCCGTACAAAATTTATTTTAAACCCAAACGATGCACTATCAGACATTAGCTCGCTTGATTTAAGCGACACCCGCGTTTCAAACGCTCAGCGGAGTGGGGAAGTCGAAGAACTTACTATGACAGTATCAAAGCTTCAGAATAGCTTAAATAACATTAAAACTCAAATTAAAAAGCTTAATGAAGAAATTGAACTTTTAGAGATTACAATTTCAAAGCTTCCCAATTCTGACTTTGTTAAAAAACACTGTCTCTAGTCATCTATGAGTTGGAAGAATGCGCTTGTTCTATTTTTCCTTCGTTCGAAAAGGATCACGGTTCTCGTAGATATACACAAAGCATATGGTCTGAGCACGGGCGGAGCCCGTGCTCGTATTCATCTAGAATCTTCTAGATCCTGTCCACGCGGTACCATCAAGCACCCTCGTATCTGACAGCTGCCAACTTCCCGGGCCGGAAGCGCTAGCAACCATTTGTCCCGCCAGGTAGCTAAATGCCTACAAACATCTGCCATGGAGGCGGTCACATTGTTTACATTTCTGATGACTTATCGAGCTTGTATTTTTCTGGAATGCCCGGTTTCATATCCGGCGCTGCCATCGGATTGAACTGGTCCTCCACCTTCAAGTGATAATGAGGTTACCGACATGTCGCGGTGCAGCAAAATGCTCAACCGCGTTTTTCAGTAACTTTTTACACTAAACTATGATGCGTCAACTCTATCTACCGGCGGACACCGGGTTAAACAGCACTTTCATGATATAGTCGCACGGTAACGCCGGCCATGTGTCGTTAAATTCCCCGGGCTCCGCCGTATGCGTCGGTATCCCAAACCCCGCTAGCGCGCCGCGCTGTTAATCTTTAAATTAAGGGTGTGTGTTAAAGATCACCTAGGGCAAAGAGGCAGAGTGCAAAGTATCACGGGACGACGCCAAAACTAGGTAGCATGGTCTGATATTCGTGGTTGCACAAGGAGTGCAACATCCATCGTGGCCTGAATGCGGGAGCTATGTCATGGGCATCTGGTGGGGCGGAGGACGTGACTAGTCACCTGACTAGGCACGTGCATAAGTCACAGGTGTGCCTGTGACACAAAGGAGGGATTGGGTGCGTTGCACCAATTCCCACGTGCAGCGTTTTCTCCAACCGTGGGTCCAGTGCACGGGCCGCTGTCTGATCGGTCACCACAGTGGCTCAGCAACTCCCCAGGCGTTACGCTACAACAGTATGGGCGTAAATGTTCGCGGACAGCCCGTTAGGGTTCGGTGTGAAAGGCTTCTAATTGCAATGCAAATATCTAAAAACTGTTCCATATTCTAATTACAAAAAGGGGTCGTACAACGACCCTTTGCTCCCTTTTATAAAGGGAGCAGAATAAAACGCGGACGCGTTGCTCGGGGCGCTCCGCGCCGAGTGCGCAGGCCACGCGGCCACGTGCACGGTCCGGTAACACGGCCAGTAGGGCCACGACGGATAAAGCGCCGTGACGGGCACCGCCCAGAGTGGAGTCACGTAACCATCAGTCACGCAACCAGGGCCCGGGCGGGCGCTGCACTAGATAGATCGTTTAACGGGACCGGCCTCCGGCCCACAGACCTGTTTGTCGGATATCTTCGCGCACGACTATTTATCCGTCCCTACGTGTCCTAATATCTGGTGTGTTGTCCGTCCGGCTCCAGTATCGAGCCCGGATCTAGAGCGTGAGTTCTTCCGGACCAAAGTTTTCCTGGCCTTGGGCGCCAGTTCCTGTGCGATCACGAGGTGCCCTTCCCACAGTACTTGGCCAGGGAGATTGAACATTTTAAGCCAGCCAGCAACGTGTTTAAGGGTGTAACAAGGGTGCAGAGAGCAGGCTTGGAAGGTGGGAATAGCTTCAAGATTGCTAATAATCTTTCATCGCCTCAAGAGATACTTAAGGAAGCAGAATCTCGGGATTCCCATGGCCCTCGGCAGGGATTATATAGAGGGGTTTGTGGCTCGTGCGAGGTACATTTCCTGGGGCTTTTCTGACCCATTAGCGAGCGAGCACACTGCCGAGCACGGCGGCAACTTGAGTCGAGACGGCAGGGTACGAGAAAGAGGGACTTTGAGGACCGGCTATTGCAAATCGGGTACTAGGTGACGACCCTATCGACCAGGTAATCATCCTGCTGGCAATTTGTTTTTTTGCGATTTTAATTAGATTTTTAAGCGCTTTGTAAAACAACGCATTTTAGCTATAATCGCCTGCCGAAAAGGGGGTGCTTTAACTTGTGGGTTTTCACGAGGGCTAGGGGTAAGGATTGACGCCACAGCCGTCGCGTGACTGTGCATCATTTTTTGGATGACCCCCATATCGGCCCTGAGATGGATTCCGAATGGCGTGGGAACATGTTAAGGCTCGTTTGTACACTTTGTTTAGATCGCAACGCAGCGGCTAGAAGCCAAATGTCACGGCCATGGTCAAAGAAGAGAACACCGTTAATTGGCGCTACGAACGAAGATTCTAATCTAGGGGAGAAAGGAAGGAAAAAGGGGATTCCGGTGTTCGGCGCGCGTTCAGTGCGTCTTGATCATGGTCCCTCGTGTGGGTCCTCGTCTGTAGGTCTTGACCCAGATCGTCACACCAAGGAGGCACAGCTGTAAATAGCGTTAACGCAGCCTTTCAATGTTTTACTACGAATAATCCACCTATATCCTACACTGTATATGATTGTAATAAGGGAGGGCTATCCATCCTGTCTACTGCTTGGGTCGCTCCATTGCATAACTTATTAACGAAAGAACGTACACTACTACTTTGGCCTGTTACTCCTGATTACCCTTAAGAAACATTCAGTTACCACGAAAGTAAAATGAAGGCTGAACCGAAATCTCAAACGACTATCGAGTACAACACTGCATCGTCAGACAGACAGCCTGCTCCTTTAAGAAAACTACGCAAAACATTGTCAAGGAAGCGGACTTCGCGCCCCCAAAATTGGGATGCAAACCGGGCCAAAATCACAAATCTTCATACCAGCGGCATGGAGTTGAACGATATAGTGAGAACTATGAAAGAATACCATGATTTTACAGCCAAGTAAAATTTTACTGTAGTTTAAGCTATCAATATTTGCTTTTAGAAATGCGGCGGAAAGTATTGGCTGACGATGATAAACTACCAGCACGCGTCAATATAGGTACCAACTTAACAAGTGGGGCATCATTAATCAGCGGAACCGGCAGAATCAGCAGAACCATAAAATATCGGCGATGAATCTGAAAAAACGAGCTTCACAATCAATGCAAAGAGTCTTAAGGCTATTACCAGCAACTATAGCGAAAATGTCGAGGTCCAAGACTCGGATGTTAAAGGGTCCACCGACATTAGTACACCTACGCCAGCATCTTATTTAAGCTTATCTGCCGCCCTCCAGGTTGCTGGAGGAGCGGCTGCGGACGCACGGACATACGCCCTCGAGTTTATCGCCAATACGAAAGTCGGCGAGATACCCTTAATTCCATTCGGGTTTTCCTTTAAATATTCGATTGCGATGATCTGCAATCTTTTGATGCAACAGAGCTTTAACTCCGCCGGCGAATACATGCACCTGGCCTCCGAGCAGGCAGAATGGATGGTTCGGATCCAGCCCCACGAGGCTAGCCTATGCCTTTACGAAGCGACACAGGTCCTAGGTCCAGTCGCCCCGGAAGTGATAGCATTAATTTTACTTCATGCGGCAAATATATGCCTTGTATTCTGGCCCGATTCGCATCCTGCCGTTCCCGGACTTTTTGTTCAGTTTTGCCGGAGCTATAAGCTTTTACATTTACGTCCTGAAATGATATTTTTCCAGGGATAGATTGAACTTTAGTAGTAACAGATACATTTTTATGGAATAGAAACAAGTTACCCTTTCAGGGTCCTTTTATCGAATTTTGTGGATTTCTTTGTCGTATTTCGCCTTGCAAGCGTCCTAGTTAACTATGTCAGTCGCCGGTCTCCTGTCGTTCAGATTGCAGCAAATTATCTAATAGATTCAAAAAAGCGTTATGTAAAACGTAGCACCGTCCTCTAATCTTTAATATTATGCTAGCGGAATATCTAACTCCTATAATGTACAGTGAAACTGAGTCTGCATAGATAATATACTTAAAGTACCCGAAGAGCCTGTAGGTGTTACGGGCCGGCACGATGGTACCGTGTAATCTACCAAGTAGACCTTAAAATTGAAGATGGAAAGGAAACGAGAGAATCTACAAGATGGCGATGCTCGTGACCGCACTTCAATACCAGGCTGTGGGGCACGTGCACTGCTGAGTCAGCGAGACCTCATGCCATGCCATGACAAGGTCGCACCTGGACGTCGCATCTCGGCTACTGGGGTCTCGCTTCCTCCCCTCATCATTTTCAAAGGAAGTGGATTACGGACCGCACGGGGGTAAATGGCTGCAAAAAGTCTTCCTCCCTCGCACCCAACCCCTTACCCCTGAACCCTGGCTTTTGATATTAGATGGCCACGGATCCCATGTTGAGGAGATCAGCGACAGTGCATCAGAAAAAGCAGAAGATTCTGATCAGGAATCAGTCCTTTCATGCATTCTGGTTAGTTAAATTGAGGTAGAAAATTACAGTTAAATGCATTAGGTTTGGTCGTGATCCGATTCATTTTGGTGGTCCAACTGTGGGGGTGGGCCAACAGGGGGTGCTTTGACTTATCAGCTAGGCGGAGACGCTACCTAGGGCCCCAGGTAGATCATGAAACCTAAGGGTAATAAGGCTGGGAATGTAGTTTAAAAATGCTGTGTTTCTCCACCACCGTCACGCGCTTACCCTTTAAGTTTAATCAATCGACAGGGATGACGAAGAGCTTGCATCAGCTTGGGAATTGCTTATATTGATAATTATATCCTCTAAACAATTAGCCTCTAAGATAATCCTTTCAAATAAAACTTGAGTATTATAAAGGTTTTTTTGTAAGTTTGATACAGCAAGACTGAGGTCTTTCATGTCTCTATTACCCCGAGCATTTTTGATCTCACTATAAGCTTGGTTAATAGAACTACTGGCATTTGATATTTCTTCGTCCGAGTTAACAACGAAGTCTTCAAGACTGCCAACGCTATCTGAATTTTCAGAGCTTTGTTCACCTATAAGATGTTAGCTCGGCTTGATTATTTAGTCGAAGGACACAAAGACTCACTTATAATATCATAAATATCACCTGCAGTGACATTTTGTTTTTTTCCAAAACGAGCCATATTTCAATTGGAAGACTGTCAGAGCTGTGCAATTACATTATTTTAGAAGCAGTATAATATACACTAGTTGCCGGACCGAAGGATATTTATTAGTGAGATAAAAAGCCGTTATGCTCCCATAGCCTAGAAATTGAAAGAGAAGTTTTGGCTATTGTCACGGCTACTAGGGGGTGCAGTTTATGACGTGCCCTAGCACGTGATATGCGCCTCCTACCATATCCCCGCCGTACCGGCGGAGGCCCTACAGGGCCGATTCCTAGAGAAAACAACCTTCCGCACCACTAGTTTATTGACCCCCATCTGGCTCTGACACTAGCCTTTTTTAACTTGATTTAATGTGTGTAGTGAGTTTGAAATAGCCATTGTTATCTGTTTTATCATGCAAAGGAATGATAAGGACTCCATCATAAATATTGATACTAAGCTTGTATGGAGTTTTAAAAGGACTAGTGAAATTGCTTATATCCGCATTTATAATTTTTACTTTATCCATTTCTCGCAAGTTCTCCAGAATTGTGACGGTCCAGGGCAGTTCACCGCACAGCGCAGGTATCCATGTGAGCACGCGCCGCGGAACAGTCCGTGCGACAAGACGCCGCACCACCTTTTCTTCTGCATCGCGTGTCCGGCGCTCCGCGCCTCTTTCCCTTTTCCCTCCCCATAGAAGAGTCTTTCGTCCATAGTATCAATTGAATCTGGCTGCGAAGCCTCTCGCCCTGATCGTGATGGGAATTAAGTCAGTCCACCCCCTGTTGGCCACCTCACTTTCCGGCCACCCGCTCAGGCCCACTGCACCACCAACCCCGGTGCATTCAACCGCAGATATCTACCTCTATTCAAAGGGGCGGCAAACACACCGAAACTGGTGGCTTACGAAAATCACTCCCAGGTACGCAGCTCTAGGGCTGACAGACGCACCGACAAAATGCCCGCCAACGCTTCAACTCAAAAGATGGCTCCTTCACCGCCTTCTTGCCGCCCGGATGGGACACGGAGACTTCAAATGGTATCACACGAAATTCAACCATCTGATCCTCCTCCGGAACGCGATAGGATGGCTTATTGGTACCGTTTCTTAGCAGCGCCGAGCCTCTTTGCTCGATTTGCCGAAGCCACAGACATATATGCCTAACCTTCCTTTATTTATTCGTCTTTGTTTAGCTAGGAGGCTCCGCAGGAGGTGCCCCCTATAACAAATCTGGTCAAACGTACCGGTACTAACATAGCCGCGCAGCGGCCGGCCTGCATTATCCTTATCTGCCATCTTTAGCAGTTGTTAAAGATCACGTAGGGCAAAAAGGCAGAGCTGCAGTTAGTGTTGAGATAACAAATGTTACATGCCTCTGGCTAGTGACTAGGAGCACGAGCCACACTAGGCTGCCCACTATGCATATAAGGCCATGACCCTTCCACCTCTCACCGAGGCACTCTGCCAGACAGGCAATGCAAGGAATCTTGAACCATGCCCAGCATATTTCAACAGTTAGCACCAGGTTGATATAACTATCTAAAGGTGAAGAGTACAAAAGAGGTATCACAAAAGGGGGTAGTGGGCGGACCGGTGCTCGGCCCAGACAGGGCACACCGAATGGGTGCGCTCCATCTGTACCGAGCACCGGAGGTGCGGCAGTGGAGGCTCAGGTTCCGATGTCGAACACGGGGGATAGGGGTTAAAGGTGTATATATAGGCAGGGAGCCGGATGTGCCATATTTCTTTCCTCCTCAGACAAAGATTTTGTTGGTGTTGGAAGGGCACCTCGTGATCGCACAGGAACTGGCGTCCAAGGTCAGGAGAACTTTGGTCCGGAAGAATTCGCGCTTTAGATCCGGGCTCCATACTGGAGCCGGACGGACAACACACCAGACCGTGCACGTGGCCGCGTGGCCTCCGCACTCGGCGCGGAGCGCCCCGAGCAACGCGCCCGCGTTTTATTCTGCTCCTTCTATAAAAAGGGAGCAGAGAGTCGTTGTACGACCCCCTTTTGTATTTTGAAATATGGAATAACGTGGTTCATCACCGAGTCGGACATATCACCGAGTCGGACAGTTAAAAATCCCATAATAAACGCGATTTTCGATACCCTTGCTAATTCGGCCTATTTAAGCCTAAATTTAACCAAATTTAAACAGGTTATATTTAACTACGCAGTAAATTTAACTCAATTTTCTTAAATTTTTAGTAGTACCCTTTTAGGGTTAGTTGCATATTTTACACAGTGTACAATACAGTATTTAGAACTAACATTAAAAGGGTACTACTAAAAATTTTAAGAAAATTGA